GGCAATTTCACCTTAATTGCCTGGTGATTTCGTTACGTGTCAAATTTACGTGCTAAATTGTATTTATAAATATCTATAAATTGTTTTATACTTTACCTTTAGGTTTAAACTACTTTGCCTCAAGGAAAATGAAATAACTTCATATTCCTTTCTGGTTGGTTGTTATATAAAACTCCCAATATGTTGTGGATTTAGTACGAAATCGGTAAATATTCGTTCATAAACTTCAGGCTAACACATACTCTATGTTTTTTTATATTGTTTCACAATTGATTTCCCCCTGATCCTTGGAAAATATCTATTGTCAAAATGATCCACAAACCCAAAAAGCCACCAGAATATCCATCCTCTTACCGTCCCATCTCTCTGTTACCCATCATGGGAAAAATCCTGGAAAAACTAATCTTAAAACGCCTGTACCCAATCCTAGATTCTAATCACATAATCCCAGATCACCAATTTGGATTCCGCTCCTCCCATTCCACTATACAGCAATGCCATCGTGTGGTAGACGTAGTATCCTCTGCATTGGAGCGCGGTATGTACTGTACGGGAGCCTTTCTCGATGTTGAACAGGCGTTTGATAGAGTTTGGCACCCGGGACTGCTGTACAAACTCCGAAAATTCCTACCATCTACCTACTTCCTCATTATCCGTTCCTACCTTACTGATAGATACTTTAAAGCAAATCACAACAATGTATATACATCCCGTTTTTCCCAGTCTGCAGGTGTTCCTCAAGGTAGTATCCTAGGTCCTATCCTTTACACAGTTTATACAGCTGACATCCCAACCCATCCCAACACTGTCATCACCACATATGCTGATGACACATGTATTCTATCAGTCAATAACCCTTCAATCTCACATCACAAACCTTGAAGTATGGTGTCAGAACTGGAGAATTAAAATAAATTCCAATAAATCCCATCAAATTACCTTCACCCTTCGTCGTAAACCAATGACTTCCTGTCCTTCAGTATCCTTTAACAACACCTCACTTATTCCTGTTGAACAAATCCGTTACCTAGGACTCCATCTGGACAAACGTCTAACTTGGAATCCTCATACCAGACTGAAACGACAAGAAACCGCTCGACGTTTCTGACTACTTCAACACTTACTAGACAAACGCTCTAACCTTCCAATCAGTTATAAAAGACTGATTTACATGACTATAATAAGGCCTATTTGGACTTACGGGGTTGAGCTATGGGGCTGCACCAAGCCTTCAAATTCCTCTCGCATACAGTCCTTGCAATCCAAAATCCTTCGTAAAATCCTCAATGCTCCTTACTTTGTTACAAATAAAATTATCCATAATGACCTTAATGTTCCTTATGTATCAGATTTGGCCCAATCCAGATATCTGTCCTTCCATAATTAACTTCATAACCATCCCAACCCTCTTGTCTCTTAACCTTGCTTCCTATTCGATTCCTGATAACCCTCCGAGGCGTCTGAAAAGAAGATGGCCACGTGATCTTCTAATATAGACATATTATTAGAGTGCTACCAATGGGTAGTCTCTCAACATGTGTTCCATGTCTTTATACCAATGTGCAAATTTACTAGATGTATTTTTTGTATACAGTTGTAAATATCATTTAAAATAAATTTAAAAAAATAAAAAACAATCGATTTCCAATTATAAATTTTCAAGAATATGAACAAGGCCCGAGTATTTTTTCCCTTATAAGTGCTTTAAATTATGGGTTGTTTAATTAATATTACAATTACGTATATTTGCAGGTGTTTATATTCCCTTAAAACTTTAAAAATATTCAGCTGCAAGATATGAGTAATTAAGTTTAAGTAGTCATCAACATTGTAATTGCACTTAAGCTGTTAACATACAAGTATTTTAACTTATAATGTGCAAATATATAATTCTATTCTAATAGAAACGGAAGTTTTTTAACTAAAAAAGGAATGGCATTAACAAGATATGATGCTAATATCCAAATACGATGTGCAGAATAGAGAAGGGAGAAATAAGTGGGATCGGAAAAATGTAATAAAATTGTAAGGTTGCTTAGCTGTGTTGAGTTTTTGATAATGGTCATTTGAAATATGCCATCCCTGCAAATCCCGTGTAGCCGAAAGGCAAGGAAGGGAGGAATAAATAAATAAATAAAAAATGGTCAGTCTAATCGGTAATTTTTTTCTCCTCCATACGTTACTACTCTGATTGCAGATCATTCCAGTTATCATGCGAAGATGTTTTCTCTCGAATCTTACAAATTCATTTTTCTAGGGTGGGTTAGTACCTCGCAGCCGTATATAAGAAATGTTCTTATTATAGTATTGTAACCTTTAATTTGAGATTTGTTGGGATTTCCATACATTTGAAAGAGATGAGAAAGCTCAATTTGCGCTTGTTGTACCTTGGTATACTTCCGGCTATTAGTCATTCATCGAGATTATTGTGGAATTGAGGTATTTGAATTTGCCTATTCCCGGGAATGATTTCCCTTCTACTCTGTTATCGAGATGAAATGTTTGCCATATTATCAATTATTTTTTCTTCATTTACTGGTAGGCCTGTTTCTCCTATCAGAGTCTTAGCGTTTTATTAGTTTTTCAATATCTTCTTAGTTGCTTACAAGGACTCATCTGCATATAACTAGCTACATATATGTGTGTGTGTGTGTGTGTGTGTGTGAGTATATATATACATGTACATGGTAATGCGTATAATATAGCCTATTGCAGTATCTCCCTCAATGGTCGAATAATGTTTTAATACAGATGTACATCGGACTGAAAGGTTTTTCAGGGTTGCTGTGACCTTGGGCCCAATAAATGCCTGGAACAGGATGGTAAGGGGTCGTTACAGTCCACTTTTCACTTTTCCCTCGGTCCTGGTTGATGTTGGAATAAATTGTCTGTGGAGCTGGGAGGAGAGGCGGTAATTTCGAGCTGCCTCCTCGTCATTATCTGGGTCATTTGGAGCCTCCCCACCAATCATCAACCTCCTCGTTTAATCAGGCACAACTTATTACCCGGCCTAATTGTACTCCGGTCTTAGAGGCTGTATTACACGTTCTGTATACACACCACCAGCATTAATCAATCACTTCGTTGTCCGATCATTGGTGATTGTTCCATCCTTTTTTGTATAACAACTACCTCTGCGCAGGGCTGCTCTTGATGATTGTATACTCTCTGTATTTTGGTTCTTGTGCAACCTTGGTGCATGGGTTTTCTGATAGTCCTTATGGAAACAGGAGTAATCTACCTTGTTACTTATGGTGTAATAACTCCCATCTGTAAAAATATATACAGGATTGAATTACCTGTAAATAGTTTGTAATCATTTTAGGGAAGAGGGGACCGTGGTAGCAGACCATCTAACGCATGTGCAAAACATTAAATAATTATCATCTATACATATAAAATAATTACGAGTTTGCCTCCCGATGCCAGGGAGCTTTTAACTGCGGCAATAATCCTACGCTCTCCCTACCAGCCTGGGGGAATCCCCGTATAGCTTAAAATGAGATAAAGGGGAGGTAAAAAAAAAATATTGGTTATTGATTTTAAAAACTTCTTCAGTAGAATAGTAAATAAGTTAATATTGTAGGTTTCAAGATGTTTTTCTTTTTTAATGTTTATGTTTCTTTCCTAAATTTCTTCCAATATTACATCGTTTATATCATTCTTTAAAAGTAAAAAAAAAAAAAAAACGCTGATACTATTTCCTACTCATAAAGAGATATTGGGTTCAATACTTTGAAAATAAGTCGCTCAACGGTTTTGCTAGGATGTGATTTGACTGAGATTACGCTTAAATGCCAGATTTTTTCTGTATTAATTATTTAATTAAGATTACGCACTTTATAGAGGTTCGATGTGCCCTGGGTCGATGTGTCACTACCTCATGGCGGATCCATAACTGATTTAACAGAATAAATAATCATCTGCAACAGCCGGCATAGGTCTCGAAAAATTGAATATAATAGCAAAGTGCCTTAGTGTTAACCCGCTAACTTCCAATTAATGTATAAATTACAATGAAATGAAAATCATTGTATTAAGACCTAAATACATATATGTTTTGTCTATAAACATTTATTGTATATTTGGTAGTATTAGACTGCTCAGATTATTATTCAGGTTGTATACAATACGAGTTTTTTTTTTTAATTTAATTTTAAATCTTGTGTAGAGAAAGGTTGTCTAAGTTCAGCACCAGATTCATCTCTATAGAATCTAAATATAACATTAACACTTTATTTATTTTATATATTTTTATATATAATAGCCATTCAATTTAATATCATCTCGTACGTTTAATCTTCACTCCTTTTCTTTAAGAATCTGTGATTCGAATTCTGTTATTATTCTGATGTACATTTTATCGCCTTACTTATTTCAGACAAAACAATTTTAGATAAATTAAAGTTGAAATATTAATTTTAAAAAAAATATATAGGTGATGATAGACTTTGAAAATTTCTTACGTAATCAACACAATTAAAATGAGAAACGAAATAAAAAGATACCTTCATATGATATACAACCTGAATACTTTTATTGTGTTTTGAATTTTTTTCTGATGAGTGCTGTTAATAAAATTCTGAATCGAGAAACTCTTTTCCCGAAACTGAACAGCTTACATATTAAATATTAATGTATTTTTTTTACTTCATATTGAATTCAGTTTAATTTCAGTGTATTTGAAAAATGACATTACATGACGTCGCTTAATATGTTGCTTTTATCAGAAATTGAAATCTATTAATATATTTATATTTTACCAGGAATTAGTTCTATTTTAGTTTCACAGCCTTCACATTGTTTTATTTTTAGTTATTTTTGGTTGCGTGATTCTCAGTAGCAAGGCTACGTCACACGGTTGTTCGTTAATGCAACAAAGTAACAGAAATGAATTATTCCATAATGTTATCATATGCTTGTATTCAACCTTCTTTTTTTTTAAATTAGTATATTCATTATGAGTATTCTATAATAGGTTCATTTAATTAAGAGACGTGATGGAAACTATTTATTGGTTCCACTCGTACGAGACATGGCCATCAAATACACGCCTAACAGGTACGCGGAGAAGTTAATATCATAGTATGAAATCCTTCTAATTTAACATCCTTCTTTATGTATTTTATAGGTGTATCTGAAATTCTAATACCTTCATGTGAGGTCTCTACGATAGAGTAACTATTTTATGACACTGTCAAAGAAATTCCTGCATTATCTTTTTATTTATTTTTTTATGTAAATATATATACCTTATCTCTTTTCCCCGTTCTCTTCCGATAGTAGCTATTTATTAATTTTTAGATTGGATTTAGTTAATTAAGATATACTAAGCGTATTTTTAACGCTTATAACAGTTTTATGCAGGTGTTGAAAATATGACTTCTATTTTTAAAAGGTACATGGTAAAGTATAAATGTAAAGTATATATGTAAAGTACATATAAATATACATTTATCTTACATGAATTTTTATTACTAGAACTTTTTTCATTATGATCAATTCAATCAATTTATGAAGTTATTTTAAAACTTTTATCCAAATACCTTTTTTAATAAAAGTTCACTACAAACAATTACTCCGAAACCTATTCATAAAAGGTTTTTATGAAAAACAAAAACTGGTGCGTGCAACACATAACTTTCACTTACCGCTCAACTTTGAAAAGAAATTATTTTCTAGGCATGTTGGGCTATCATAAAATTTTTGAATTGCATTATTAATCGAGCTTAAAGCTCACAGACAAGAAATCATAAATACCATTGAAATAACAAAAATCCTATTTATTATATCACTGGTTGATTATGGATTGTACGATGCGTTGAAGTTGTCAGGTCAAAAGTTGTCACACTAATTGCATGTGGATACTGTTGGAATATCACAAAGGAAAGATTAATCAATTTATTTACTAATTTAATTTTCTAAAAGGTCACATGATGATTTTCAGGAATAATCAGACGATAGATCCCTAATTATTTAAATATAATATCAGATCTAAAGTTATTAAACTACAGTAAATATATTTAAGGTTATAAACTTATCCATGAAATATTTTTATATTTCACTTCTTCTTTCACAGAAGTACAATGAAATAGTTTTATAAACAATCTCGTTGCCTTGGTTCCGTGGATTTAAAATACTTTTTTTTCAAACTTAAAGAAAAAATTTAAAACGTGCATTTCCGTCGAAAACTCAAATTCGAAAATTTTCCCTATCGCAATACTTTATCTTACTATATATTACATATATAGGTAAGGGAAAGTAAAAAGAAAATAGTTTCAGAAATATATTTTTTATACATTTTATTATGTATAAATGTAATTATACAAAAAAAAAAAAAAAAAAAATCAGATATGTATGTATCTAAAATATATTATGATTTCTGAACTATAAAATAACACTAATACTTCTTCAAAAAAATTTTATGGAATATAAATATATGGTTCTTCAAATTCTTTAAGAAATTACCTTTACTTATTCTTTTACAATAGTTGCATTTCTTTTAATTGGCTAATATTGGGTTGGAAAATAAGTCCATTCGCCTTTTCACGGTAAAAGAAAACTCAATATATTATAGACATAAATTATACGCTGTTTATTTTGAATATATATATATATATATATATATATATATATATTTATATATATATATATATATATATATATATATATATATATATATATATATATATTTATATATACAAAATTTAATATTTATATCGCTATAATCTATATAATGAAATGTTAAATAATACTAACGTAAAAAAATTAGAAAAACCACATTGTCGGATATTGTTGGAGTCTGTATTTTATTATGCTCATATTACATATGAAAGTCTGTTCTAATCTTCGGGCCAGCTCGGGTGAGCTCGTATCCCTTTGGTTCCTTCATTACAACTATTCTCTGTAACGATCTCATATTTCTCCTTTAGTTAATTATCAAATTCGTTCATATTTTATATTTAACTATTTTTTATATTAGAGATTAATATGAAATGGTTAATTGTTTCAAATTTTAGAGGTAGCTAATATTTAAAATTATGCATTTAAGCCCTGTTACAGAGCATCAATGAGAATAAAGCCTACTTAATATTAAAAATTGTTCAATTTTACACTGACATAATGAATTTAATCAAAATCGTTGAAGCCGTTTTCGAGAAAATAGTAAAAATTTAATTTGTTTCATCGATGATATAAAGTGCCACTTCCGGTTTGCCGATTTTGAGCAAAAAGTTGATTTAATATATAAGGTATATACACAAAACTTTTTTTTTTTTTATTGATGATATTTACAACTGTATTACAAGTAAAAATACATTCAGTAAATGTGAAGAAATATTATTTATTTATATGATATTTACAACTGTATACAAAAAATACATCTGGTGAATTCGCACATTGGTATAAAGACATGGAACACATTTTGAGAAACTACCCATTGGTAGCACTCAATGTGAAGAAAAGAATATAATAGCATGAAATAACTTGTTGAGAAACTACCCACTGGTAGCACTCTAAAAATGTATTTACAAAAGGAGACCTCGAGGCCATCTTCTTTTCAGACGGCTCGGAGGGTTGTCAGGGATCGAAAAGGAAGCAAGGTTAGAAACGAGAGGGTTAGGATGGTGAAGTTTGTTATGGAAGGATAGGTATCTGGATTAGGCCAGGTCAGAAACATAAGGAACTAATTAATTAATTTCGTTATGGATGATTTTGTTTGTGACAAAGTAAGGAGCTGTGAGGATTTTACGAAGGATTTTGGATTGTAAATATTGGATACGAGAGGAATTCGATGGCGTAGTGGTGCCCCAGAGCTCAATTCCGTAAATTCCAAATAGGTCTTATTGTATACATGTATATGAGTCTTTTGTAATTGACTGGGAGCTTAAAGCGTTTGTCTAGTAAGTGCTGGAGTAGTCGGAAACGTCGAACTGTTTTTTGTCGTTTCAGTCTGGTATGAGGATTCCAAGTTAGACGTTTGTCTAAGTGGTGTCTAAGGTAACGAATTTGTTCAACAGAGATATACACAAACTTAAATATGCAATTTAACATGCACGCACTCTCTCACACATACAAACCATTTTGCGGGATTTGATTATTTGGACACAGGAGACCTCAAAACTTCACGATCGCAATATTGTCCCTTACTGTATATTTCATATATAGGTAAGCGAACGTAAAAAAGCGTGTTGAATACAGATAAAAAAAGCATCTAAAATACATTCATATCTATTTATATACGCCCAAGAGGTTTTTTTCTGTGGAAGGCTGAGGAAGACTGCAGAAAATGTCTTCTTATCTTCGTTTCTATCCATCCGGTCACTTAGTGCTGGAGTTAAGAATATATAATAAATTGAGCTCTAATATTAATTTTCTTCTCTGTATTGTTTCTTCGAGATACGTGAGTACCTCCTGTCGAAACTCGATGGATTTACGCATTCTAATTGTGGTCCTCTAATTGACTCGTCTTGGAACATACGGTGCTCGGATTGGCAACGGTAACGGTAGCCAGAAGGAAATTACATCCATCGGTATAGGGCCGGTAATGAGCTGAAGGTAATCCTAGCCGCTGCTAATTGAGAGGGAGTGTTAATGAAGGCTAATGCGTGCGATATGCCAGGGCAGGAGCCATTGAGGACCACAAAGCCCATTCACAGTAGGAAGGTGTGCCCAGTCATTCAGCGTCCTATTTACCGCCCGGTACAATGCACTTCCCCTCTAATAAATGCCAACTACTCTATATATCCTACCCCTTGTTTTTGTCGAGGAAATTAAATCCAGGCTCCCGTACTCCTTTGGACCACGTCTAGTTTTTTATATCTGGGCCCCCCTTCGCTTCTATTCACCCATACTAATATCCTAATAGGTTACCCTAAATTATTTGTTGGGACCACTGGTTCTAAAGTTTGTTGTGATAATTGGTATAATTTAAAAATAATAGTCTAATATTGTAAAAACATTTTCTTAATTTATATTATTATCATTATTCTTTTTTTTTGCTACATATTATTATTATTTTATATATTCGTTTATCAATTTTCGTTTTATTTATTTATATTTTTTTGTGTTATTTACTTTCTAATTATATATATATATGTATATATATGTACTCCCTGTATATTTATATTTTATGAATGACTTGCCTTTAGCACTGATACCTTTTGCCCTTGGATGTGACAAAATTTATTACTATTAAAAAAAAAAAAAAAAAATGTTATCTATTGGCCATGCCTTAACTTACAATCCACTTGCAAGTTTATAGTACTGTTGATTTTCTTGTTGCTGAAAAGGCATTATTAATCTATAATATTTTTTTTTCTTTTTCGTAGCCTCTTTTTATTTATTTTTGTCTTGAATCTTTGGATTTTCATTCACACTATTTGTATGTTAAGTAAATTGAGGAATTGCACCCCCGAGGTTATAATTAGATTACATCCAGTGGATTCATCGAACCCATTAGCCGATTGAGCTGCTGAGCCATCGGTGACTCAATCAATTTGAATAAAGAAAAGCACTTGTTAAATTGTTCTTTGTTAGCTACTTAAAACTTAATTAATTGGTCTTTAACGCCAGTTTTAAATATTATTTTACACACTTGCGTTAATGTGTTTATTTATTTAAATGTTTTTACTATTTTCTAATAATCTATTATTTATTCGATGTAGCTAACGGATTCAGGATTTAATTTTGGGGAGGCCTTCAGCCCGAAAGATTTTTTTTTTTATAAATATATTAGGAAAATTACTTCGGAAGAAAGAAAGAAACTAACTTAACTACCTGTATGAAATAGTCTTTTTAAGTGATTCTTTAAGTCCTATTAAATGTAATTAGACGAACAATAATACTTTTAGAGATAATTTTTTTCGTGGTTTCATAGTTAAATTTTCTATTTTGGGGGGCTTCAGCCAGAAAGCTCCCCTCCCCCGCCTCGTAGACCCGCCCGTGATAGAGACTGAATTTAAAATCTTTCCTAAAGAACACTCTGAATTCCACCGATGGGTTTTTGGAGCGATCTTTAATGTGATCTTTAAGCTGAGCGCTGGGTTCAGGAACTTACCTTATATAAAATGAAACGAGATGAAGGAATCGTGTTTATATGAATTATTTGAAATGAGATACAAATTAGACGTAGGGAAACTTAAGTTTATATATATATATATATTTTTTTTTTAATTAAATTT